CTAATATAATATACTAACAGCCCCCCTCAAACTCAAGGAGGATAGGTACTAGCCAACTTGAGTTTGGAGAGAGTAACAAAACAGGAAAATAGACTGACAAATAAAAGTGGATAGGAGACACTGTATGGTCGTGTCAGACCGTTGGTGAAGACACTGTATGGTTGTGTCAGACCGTTGTAGGAGCTAACCGGAATCAATGTCGGGACAGTTTATGGGGTCATGCCGGACCGTTGTAGAAGCTGACCGAAATCAATGTCGGGACAGTTTACGGGGTCATGTCGGACCGTTGTAGAAGATTGTGGTGGTGCACCAAGGGGGCGACTTAGGGAGTGCGCCATGGGGTGGCTTGGGTGGTTCACATGGTGTGTAACCGTGCTCACCATGATATATGTATAACCCCCCCCTCAAACTCAAATATGTGTGAAGATAGAAACCTATGTGAGGTTGAAACAAGGGGATTGATAAAGTGGAGCAAAACAGCTCAACACAGAGGGAAGATGGGGAAAAAAAAAATGGTAGAAAGGTTTTTGTTTTGTTTTTTTTTTTTTTTTTTTTGGGGGTAAATCCATCTAAACTAACTTGATCTGGTCGGTTTATCCGTCAAACCCATTGTTGTGGGTGATTACAAATTTTCCTCTTTTTGTCTTTTTTTTGTTTGGCATGTGGGATGGAAGCTAATGGTCTGTCATGGAAATTACGCCCAAAACCTCCCTCTTTTTTCTTTTTTTTTTAACTACAAATTCTGCTAATCAATGGAGATTATGCTTCTGATAATTTTTTTTTTTTGTGTGAAACTGAGGTTCATGTTTTTTTATTTTGTTTTTTTTCGTGAAACTCAAGATTATATATATTTTTTTTTGAATTCAGTTTTTTTTTTTTCACAACTGAGGTTCTGTAAATTTTTTTTTGTTTTTTTGGGTTTTTTCGATTTTTTCAAATCATGGCTTGATCCCAAAAAAAAAGTAAAGAATTTTTTTAATTATTTATTAATTTATTAAAAAGTGACTTTTTATTAAAGAGTGACTTTAATTATCTCTTGCGCTATACAACTTTTTATTCCTTGTGTCCATCAAAATTATTGAGTTAATTTTTGAGATTCCCCTCCCGCAAAAAATAGGAGGGAGGGAGATGCATCACATCAATACACCTGGTACACAATGCTTCCTTGTCCAAAAAATTTCTTAAGTTCAATTACTTATAAATTGCATTATGATTATTGTAATATATTAGATTTAGGTTGGTTTTATTCTCACTTTTATTTTAATTAAATATATATTTATTATTATTATTATTAAGGAAAGTTAATACAAGTCCTTATTCTTGTTTTTTTTTTTTTTAACGAAGAAAAAAAGACGCTCCTTTAAGGTATCATAGCATCTATGGGTCTTCAGTCTGAAATAATCGATAACTGGTTAAATTTAATTCAACTCATAGGAAGGAACTCACCACTGAGGCACCCAATAAATCTCATCACGCGCTATAGAAGAGGTCAAGTTTTGATTAGAATACAGTACAGAATCTTCATAAAAAGAGCGTACTCCTATAAAAACGTAGTACATTATCCACAAGCCCACCACCTCCATTGATCAAGTCCTTATTCTTGGCTCTTAAATTTTTACACTTCTATGCCTATACGATAGGTGTAGCCCGAATGAACCACCCAACCAATATGGTTTATTGACATCTATCTCAATTGGCCTTGATTATTTGATTTAAGGAGGTTTCATTCTCTCTTTTCTTGTAATTAAGCAGATTTTTTAATTTGATTTTTACTAAATAAAGAAATAATAAATTCCTTTCCACCTCTGTCAAGTACTTAAATTACCAATCCCCTAAACTTTTTGCTTACATTTTTTCAATAAAAAAATCATTTTTAAGGGACAAATTATCAATATGTAAAAAAGGTAGATAACAATGATAAATATGAAATATATTTAGCGAAAAAAGAAGTGAGAACAAAATCTTTAAAAATTTTGAGCCTGACCACAAACCTACAATTTTTTATATAGCATATTCACAATAAGGGTGGAATCCTCCGCACCCTCATTGCATGCAAAAAATATGATAGAATATGATGTCTCTTTATTATTATTATTAAATTTATGATAAATTATAAATATATTTTTGAAATTTATTTAAAATATAATTTATTTTTATAATTTAAAAAATTACAAATACCTCCTTATTAGAAGTTTTTATTTAACAGAATTAATTGAAAAAATAAAATTCCTAACTACTCTTCTACACAATAATAAAATTATCTAAATTATTAATTAAAATATATTTATAACATTATTAAAAATTATTAATTGCCTTGATGATGTATTGATAAAAAAAGCCATTTGTTATGAAATTATAAATTTTTAGGGACATAATATAATTTTCAGAATCATAGAGGACAATTTGTATTTTAAACAAATCAGATGCGATGTATTTATAATTATTCTTAAATTTATTACTACATATATATGTTTTGTATATTGCTGAACTTTCTTAATATTTAAGTTTGATTTGTTAGATAATGTCTCAATAGGACCACATAATTAAATGTGGTGTTATCATTTATAAGAAGCCTACAATTTAAGTGATTCAATTTAGTTAATAAGCTTAAGGGTATATGTGTTATGGACCTAATGTGTAGATACTAGTTGTATAATTTCTATTTCTATGAGGGGCAGAAATAGAAATTAAAACATATTGGTTAAAGTTGGTTTTCATTCCTTTTGAACTTCCACAACCTTTCAGTTTTGAAAACCAATAAATAGAAATTAAAACCAATAATGGTTAAAGTTGGTTTTCATTCCTTTTGAACTTCCACAACCTTTCAGTTTTGAAAACCAATTACAACCTTTAAAAGGTTATGGTCCCTATTCCTTCCCTAAGTGAAAAAATAAGAACACTGTCATTTTTCTTTCTAAATCCTCTTAAGGAGAAACATAAGGCACCAAAGGGGAAAGGATTAGAAGGCAATAACATAATCAATAACAAAGAGTTCATTGATAATCACGCTTCCGTTTAACCGTTCATCAATGGATTCAGGTATGTCATTTTGTCTTGATTTTTTGATAATACACATGGTAAATAATCCAAAGTGTAAGGTTTATGTTCTGAAATTTATGTTTACAATTGGTATCAGAGCATGCATATCATGTGTCTTATCAGAATTGATATGCTTTATTCATTCTATTCAGTTTCCTGAAATCAGATTCTGAATTTTCTTATGAACTTCCACAACCTCATAAATATCCATTTACAACCTACGGGCTTCGCACCAAAACTCTGTTGTAACTCTCTCTTTTTCTTCCTAAAAAATAAATGCAGAAATAGATGTAAGAGCACAGAAAAAACAAAAGAAGAATGACTAAATTCTAAGGGGAAAAATTGAATACAAGAATGCTGGAATTGAAGGAGTTTATAGGAGAAATAGTGGTAGAAATAGTGGCTATTCCGAACAGGTAGGAACTTGTTCGAACAGATTGAACAGGTGTCTGGACAGATTGAGTTTGAATTGAACAAGTATGAACCTGTTTTGAACCCTTTGAACCTGTTCGGGTGGGTTTGAACCCGTTGGGATCTGTTTGGGTGGTTTTAGTTTTGGATCCAATGGATTTAGCCCACTTTACCTATAACCTCACCCTTCCACAAACTTGGGTACCCTTTGGGGCTCATCCCAAATATCCCAAGCTAAGGTATATAAACTCATTCAAAACCTCAAGCATTTCTAATGTAGGACAAACACATTTCACATGTAAGATAGATTTATGTATAAAGAAAGAGAAAGAATTGTGTATTGAATATGTATATGAATGTTGTATTACAAAGGTTCAATTGAGCTCATTTATATAGGAGAGGAGCCAAAAGTGGGAGCCTAAAGTAGCCGAAAGTGACACTAATAAAGTAAAGTAAAAGTAAAGGAAATATACACTACTAACAGCTATACACTACTAACATCATTACAAGCACTAATATAATATACTAACAGCCCCCCTCAAACTCAAGGAGGATAGGTACTAGCCAACTTGAGTTTGGAGAGAGTAACAAAACAGGAAAATAGACTGACAAATAAAAGTGGATAGGAGACACTGTATGGTCGTGTCAGACCGTTGGTGAAGACACTGTATGGTTGTGTCAGACCGTTGTAGGAGCTAACCGGAATCAATGTCGGGACAGTTTATGGGGTCATGCCGGACCGTTGTAGAAGCTGACCGAAATCAATGTCGGGACAGTTTACGGGGTCATGTCGGACTGTTTAGAAGCTGACCGGAATCAATGTCGGGACAGTTTACGGGGTCATGTCGGACCGTTGTAGAAGATTGTGGTGGTGCACCAAGGGGGCGACTTAGGGAGTGCGCCATGGGGTGGCTTGGGTGGTTCACATGGTGTGTAACCGTGCTCACCATGATATATGTATAACCCCCCCCTCAAACTCAAATATGTGTGAAGATAGAAACCTATGTGAGGTTGAAACAAGGGGATTGATAAAGTGGAGCAAAACAGCTCAACACAGAGGGAAGATGGGGAAAAAAAAAATGGTAGAAAGGTTTTTGTTTTGTTGTGTGGTATAGAACGGTGAGCGGGGTGGATCCTGAATAGGAATAAAACAAGGGTGTTGTGCAAGCTGGATGGCAAGAATGGTACAAGGTTGTTGGAGCAGAAAAATCAGTGAGGTGGTGTTGAATTTGTGTTTTGTTTTGTGCATTATTTTTATTTTATTTATTTATTTTTTTTTTGTGTGGTTGGTTTGGTTTTGGTGTAGAATGAAAGAAAATAAAGATATGAAAAATCAGAGGTGGTTTCTGAGGCCTGGTGTGGTAGGATAATATATAAATATATATAATAAAGAAAGTAAAAATCAGAGGAGGCTAGGTGTGTTGGGAGAATGGATTATGGGGAGAATGGAATAAAAAAAAATAAGAGTGGTTTTGTGTGTAAATAAAAGAAGAGTCGGTGGGCAATATTAAAATAAAAAGAAAGGAAAAGAGTGGGTGTAAAGTGAGAGAGAGAAAGCCACTGAGTAGTTGAATACTCAAACAATTCACACTGCACCAGGTGGGGTGGTATGGCGTATGATAATATAGTATAATGGTGTGAAAGATTGTGCTACAGCTGGGTTTGCATAAAGGTGTGAAAGAGAGTGCTAGAGGTGGATTTTGGACTTTTCAGTGTTCTTATCGGCAATGATCACAGCCTCAAGAGCAAAGAGAGGCTACTTTGAAAGTTGCAGCACAAACATATGGTGGCAGAGGTGAAGATATTCAGTCCCTTCGGATGGAATCTGAGGTACTCAGGACTTGTATGTTTGTCCTTTCTATTACAATTTCCCATTGTCTTATCCTTCATAGATAACAATGTTTTGGTTTAGTCTAATTGAATTCTGTGAAAATTGAGTTAGTCTGCTAGGGAAGAAGCTGCATCTGCTTTGGAGCAGCTCCACGATGCTGATATTGAAAATAAATCACTTCGAATCATGACTCAGAGACTGATACTGTCTCAGGAAGAGATGGTTTGTATTCAATGATGGCTTATCTATGTCATTCTCTTATTGCTGCTCTTTGAAGTCAATATTTACATGATTCACAGTTTCTATCTTAGGAAGAAGTTGTTCTTAAGAGGTGTTGGCTTGCTCGATACTGGAGTTTATGCGTTCACCATGGTAAAGTGATTATTTTGTTAGTCTTCCAGCACATGAACTTCCATGGTTTTGTTCTTCTATTTAAATGCTGGGGTTGGTGCTATAACATTTGTATGATGAACTTTGGTCAATACAAATTCAGGACATGGCATCTGCAATTTTACAGGGCTTTTATCATTTATGATTCCATAAGCTGCATGTGAGTGTATTAGATCTAGGAGAATATAAGCAGTGTTATAGACTTCAATTTTACAGAGCTTTTTATCATTTATGATTCCATAAGCTGCATGTGAGTGTATTAGATCTAGGAGAATATAAGCAGTGTTATAGACTTCAATTTTACAGAGCTTTTTATCATTTATGATTCCATAAGCTGCATGTGAGTGTAT